TTTAGTCTTTCGAGGTGTAATTATTACTTTTTTTTTTCAAAAGTACCCCTATTGATAGTGACTTTATATTTATTATAAGGTGTTTAATAGAGATAAATATAAAAATATAGGGTTAGTTTGAAAGTAGATAATCACTTTATTGAGGGATAAGATTTAGTTAAAAATGTCTTATATTTTTTAATAGAGGAAGTAAATACATATATTCAACTTTCTTGATGTGAGAGACAATTCTTCAACCGAGCCTATGTTGGGCTAAGCTTGCATGATTAATTTGTCTTCTAAAATTATATATATATATATATATATAATAAGAAAGAGATGATGGGAAAAGATGAAATAGGTAATAAGAGGGAGGAGAACTATAGTCTATACCGCATGCTCCGTCGTATATTTCTTTCTTTAAAAGAGACATTTTTTAATTTAAAAAAATCTAAATTCTTACTTTTAAGAAAAGTCTGTTCATGTCTGCTGTTAAAATATTGGAGGAAAAAATGGGGAATGGGTTTGGTATAGTAAATTTCGTAAAGTAGCTGAGAAGTGGGGTGATCTTCACTTTATGTTCTATCCAATGGTTAGGAAGAGAGAGGCACATCAAAAAACTTATAATCTGCAAATCACCCAAATATTTTTTTTATTTTATATTCATTCCAAAATCTTAGAGAAATTATGACATTTTGAGGGGACTTTAGGAGAATTATGACATTTTAAAAGATCAAATTATCATTTATATATTTCAGAAGAATTTTATTATCATTTCCCCTTATTTATACGCATGAGATTGCAACTCAATTGACATAGGGTTAATTGAAAACATTGGGTTGTAAAAAGATGAATCACAAGAGTCATAGTTATTCTATTCTTTTTAAGACGATTTTGAAAATTTAAGCCCTCACTTGGACAAGGTTAAACGATTTTCCCCACAAGTAGACTCTATTCCGCACAAAATAATTATTTTCATAATGATCGACATCAACATCAATATTAATATATTGAAATAATATAATATAATAAATTCAAACTCCCTAGAAAATGCAGGACTCACTTATAATTAACTATATAACTCTTTTTTTTTTTTGTCTTCCCATTAATATGAAGCAACTCTTTTCAGGGCTCCAACCCTCTAATGCATATTGCAATGCTTTAATTTCTCTATTTTTTCGTTTTTATTTTAATCATTATTTTTTAGAAAAAATGAGAGAATTTTTGGTATCTTCCAACCATAAAATAGTGCAATTTTGTATTTTGTTTTGCATTTTTTTCAAAGAAAATTATATGAAATTGTGCAATTTTATTGTTTTCATTGAAAAATTATAGAAATAAAAAACTATAATATTTTCTGTCTACAAGATACCAGAATATTTTTGATTTTATCTAGAAGATAATGATCAAAAGAAAAATAAAAAAAATTTAGAAATACATGACATTACAAAAGGCATTAGATAATGTTCTGTAACTTGTAACTTTATAGGAAGTTACTTATCATTTTAAAACATATTTGTCATACATGACCAAAAAAAACATATTTGTCATAAATTCCAAACAGTTTTCTAATCTCTAGTTTAGCTAAAATGTCTTGGTCAAAATCATAGTAGTAATGTAGAACTGTCTAATGTATCAACTACTTTGTTGGAGCAGCTTGCACAGTTTACAAGTGATGTGCAAGATTTAAAGCTTGGAGATCACCTTGAGCTTGAAGATATATGGCATGGTGTGATGGCAGTCCCTGATGAAGGCTTCAGTAAATTGAAGACCTTGATAGTGCAAGGTTGCCAATTTTTATCTCATAATGTGATCCCTCTTCATTTGCTTGGCTTCTTGTGTAACTTGGAAGATTTACAAGTACGAAATTGTGATTATGTTAATGCAATTTTTGAGGTGGGATCCATGTCTCCCCCCTTCACCATTCCTTTAAAAACATTGACCTTGGACGAACTCCCTGATCTAGAGAGTGTTTGGAGTGAGGACCTTCAAGAAATTCTCAGGTTCCAACCTTTGCAATATGTGTATGTTGATGGATGCAAAAGCCTCAAGAGCTTATTTCCATCATCAATGTCCCAATACAAACTTGGAAGGCTTGAAAATCTACTAGTGGGAATTTGTGAGGGATTAGTAGAAGTAGTTGCAAAGGATGAAGTAATCCCAAGAGAAGCAACTTCAAACTCAACCATTTTTCCTAGCTTAACCACGTTGAAGCTGTGGAATTTACCAAAACTCAACTGCATCTATCCAGGATTGAACAATCTGGAATGGGAAAAGTTAAAGGTACTTGATGTATATCATTGTGATCAATCTTTCCAAGAATGGGTCAAGCTCATGTTCCAACTGATGTGGAAGCTATTGTCTCATTTGAGAAGGTATTTTTCTTCTTATGTATGTTAATTCTTTGATTTGATGTGGCAACAATCATATCCTCCATAATCGTAATTTTAGTCTTTTATTTTATATTTTGCCTCGTCCTAAACCGAAGTTGAGCACTTTTTAAGCACTCAAACCTATATATATATATATGTTGTTCATGAGTTTGATTAATATAAGAAAAATGTCTGCAATAGATCCTTTTATTGGTTTTACTAGTCTAATAATAATTTGGTTCTTCTTAGGGTTTTCCCAACCTAGAGCAAATATCACTCAACAAGGAAAATGTCACGAAGCTTAATAGACAAGCACCATTTCAGGCAAACTTCCTTCATAAAGTGAAATTCCTCATATTGCAATGCTTCCATGATTATGCAGATGGATTTCCATATGAACTTTTCCAAACTGAATCAATCCCCAATTTAGAAAAGCTTCGAGTGGCTTGTAGTGCCTTTAAAGAAATATTTTGCTCTCAAAGACCTGATGTGGATCCCCATGCTGAAATGTTGTTTTCACATCTCAAAGAATTGGAACTAGTAACCCTATGGAATCTTGAATCCATAGGGTTAGAGCATTCTTGGGTTGCCCCAATCCTTGAAAACCTGGAAACCTTGATAGTGAAGCATTGTCATTGTTTGGAGAACTTGGTTCCGTGTACTGTATCTTTCTCAAAATTAAGGGAATTGCATGTACATGATTGTCAAGGATTGGTATATTTGTTCACATTGTCAACTGCAAGAAGTTTAGTTTTACTTGAAGAGCTGTCCATTGCAAGATGTGTATCTATGCAAGAAATAGTGCCTAAAGAAGGAGATGAATCAGATCAAGATGAGATAACATTTAGGAAGCTCAAAAGCTTGTTTCTTGGGTATCTTGAAAGACTTGGCAGCTTTTACTCTGGAAATTTTACTTTGAATTTCCCATGTTTGGAAAATGTGATTGTTCATGAATGCCCCAGAATGACAGTTTTCTCTTGTGGAATCACAAATGCATCTCAACATTTACGAGTTTCAACATGGCATACCAAATACTCAAATTTTCATCCAACACATTGTGGCTTGGATCTGAATGCCTCTATCAAGTTGCTCTTTCCCTCACAGGTAATTGTGTCTCTTTTCTTTATCCTGTTTCGTTGCTATGCACTAGGTAGACATATGATACTTGTTTCCCAATTACTTTTATCGGTATAGTTATTGTATTTTCTATTTCCGAAAAAAAATTAATATTGTTCTTTTTCGTTACCTGTTTGATTGTAACGTCCTTTTGCTTTGCAAATACATATCTTCCAAAGATAATACTAAATTGCTTTTCAAACAACCTTAAATTATTTGTGGAGGGAAGTTAAGAAATTATTTATTTTGGACAAATATATTTATGTATTATTATATGCTGTGTTTCTTTTAGCTTTTAAATACAAGAGGATCTCTAAGATTAATAAATAAACTTTTAAAATAAGGAAGATTTTATGGGAAAAGATGAAATAGTCAAAAAGAGGATAATCAACGACTTCTCTGGTCTCAGTTAGGTGTTTTCGTCCATTAATTCCTTAACCATTTTCAGTCAAGAACAAGAAAGAGGAGAAGTGTGTGTGTGCATGACACACTCTTATCGTCTTTACGTTGCATTTCTTTCTTATGTTCTAGAATATTTTTGCTTTTAAACTATTCTTTTAACAGTATTGGGTATTCTAAACTATCAAATGATGCAATTTTACTTTCAAAATTTAAATAAAAAAAAAGTTGCGATGTTCATTAAAAGGGGCAAATTGTTAAAAGCAAGTATAGATATGGATATATGTGGGCGCCACACCACACAGTTAATGGGTGTTTGCTTTCTTTTAAAGACAAGCGGCATTGCAATGCTTTTTTAAGTTTGAGGCAATATTTGATACTCCTTTCAATTTTTATTATAAAATATTTTTAATTGTTTCATGCATTTTAAGCAAAATAGTTTTTTTATATCATAAAAAAGGGGGACGCATTTTCATTCTTATTTTTGGCTTTGAATAATAATACAACTACATTAAATACCTTCACATTAATAAAAAGAGGTAAAATTGAAAAAAGTAATTTTGTTATCACAAGGTGTCTTAAATTTTGGACCAAAAATTACTTCTAGAAAGTGTCTTATAAATAAAACCAGAGAGATTAGTTCAAAATGCCTAGTGTTCTTATAGGAATAGTTTAAGGGAAAAAAAGTCTTTTAACCCTTTTTTCTTCAGGATATTGTAACTTGCAAATTTTCTAGCTATTGAGATAAATGTTTCTATTGTGGGAAAGGCAATGTATATAAATAAATTTGTTTCCCTTTTAGGTATTCATTAATTGTTTAATATTTTTTTGAGAAAAATATATAATTTTAAAGTGTCAATAAATAAAATTTATAATTATAATATTTAATTGACTTTGTCCTTTACAGTAAATTACAATAGCTAACAAGCGCATGTTAGGGGGGAAATAATGTATGAAGAAATATACACATCTTAATTTGATTGGCCTTGCACATATGAGCTCAACTACCTACATTTTTTCCCCAATTCTTGTCATAACTTTTTGGGAGAAGCACAATCAAATTCCAAATAAGAAAATTAATTATTTTTTTGGGTTTATTTACAAGTCAAACTTTTATATTTACATGTTAAAATTTTGTATTTACAAATGGATGGGACATGTGAATAATTAGTCCTTATATGAGACCTATATGTTATTCTCCCTGACTTTTTGTCACGCCCTAAAAATAAAGGGTGACCGGCATGGGTGTGGACCACTCACACATTCCCGTAAATCTCAAAATGAACATTTATTTCATTTTACAACAGAAAGAACAAAATTTAATCAAATCAAATGAGAATTAAAATAATTCCTTTAAACTCATTATCATAAAAAAATGTCGACATTTTTGTAAAAATTTTGGCAGAACCTCTCCTGTAACTAAGATCTCCCAAAAATTCTACAACAATTTTTTTACAGATAATAGTATAAATTAAGAGCGTAGCTCTTTGCAGCCAGCAACCAATATACAGACCAAAAATAAGGTTTATCAACAACCTATGTAGAGCATCTACTCTTTCTTTCAAATCAAAAAGACATACAAATTATATATTTATATTAAAGCAACAATACTAATCAAAATGTCCACCCACTGTAGCTAGTTGCTCTTTAGAGGTCGATGATGGGATTAGTGTCAGCTAACAAATCTAAGACCAAAATAATTTTTTCAATGAATAGCATTCCCATAATAAAATTCTTAGAATTTAAATCAATAAACTCCAATAATGGTGTCAACAAATTAAAATAATTCCTCAAAGTTTTATAAACCGATAAGTCATAACCATAATTGTAAAATCTGAGTAAGTTGAAAACAATTTATGCTATCATACTTAAAGAAAACAATTTACTCACATATAACTCAAAGTGGTAAAATTGTTAGCTAAAATAATGTAAATTTTGAAAACACATTAATCAACATTTAAAATTTTGAGAGCTCAACAGAACAGGCAACAAACGTGGACACATAATCCACGAAGGTAAATAACCAAACGCGGCTTATGCCACGAAAACAAACGTGGACACCCAGTCCACGAGGGTAAGTAACCAAACGCAGCTGAAGTTACAAAATAAATGTGGACACACAGTCCACGAAGGTAACTAACCAAACGCGGCTTAGGCCATGAAATCAAACGTGGGAACAAAGCCCACAAATACCAAACGTGAGAATACAACTCACGAACCAACTAGCTAGTGTTTAATCACAGCGTGCTACGGGCTAACAAAACCGCCGTTAGCAGCAGTGTTCTGTTTAGAGTCCTCTCAAAAATTGTGTTTTAAACATGCGAGAAAAATAATTATTTCTGAAATACAATCTACGTTTTCAATACCAAACTCACATGCATCACTTTAAATTTCAATTTAAGACCTATTGAAAATAGTCTTTCATAAAATAATATACGAGCTTGCGTTATCTAAATAATCAAGGATTTCAAGAGTTTAATAAACCGAATAATTCCATAAATCTTTGAAACATATTCCCTCAGGAAATAAATGCATATATCCTCCTTTAAACATCTCGCATCGATATTACAAAGTTTCAAAACTAATGTAATTCACAAGAATAAAATATCTCAATGAAAATTTATTAAAAATAAAAATACCAATAAAAATAAATTAAAGAGAATGCTATTCACTTACACGTTGAAGTTCTAAATTCTCGAAAGTATTCTTCTTTTAATTCTCGTCAGGGTCTTGTTCTTTCACACACCCTATAAAGTATAAACATATACAATTTTAATAACTTTTTAATTTATAACACAATCTCTATCAATTATCATCTAAAATTCAAAACCAAACTTATGATTTAAAGTTAGTTCAAGCATTATTATTTATTTCTCTAACTTCCTTCATAAAACTTTCCATTCTATTTCCTTGGAATAGGAGTTTTCTCCCAATCTTTGCACCACTTACCTTAGGTGCATTACTTCTACCTCTTCAATTTTAAGCCTTCAACCATTCACCAAAAATCAAACAAACTCCAAATATACACATGACTGCGTACAAGCCCATAATTAAATTCCTTTACAAATCTATAGGTGAATTCCTAAACCAATAATTCCCATCAATATTTAGAAGTTAAATTTTATTTCCTCATACAAGCCCTTCAATGCCATCTCATAGGCACCAACAATATATCCAAGCTTGTCTCTTCCGATTTCACTCTAAAAATTTTTTTAACATCAACCAAATCAACAAAATAAATTTAACTCCAAAATCATGACCCATATATATATCACCATCATTCTTCAATACTAATGCATATATAAATATATTTCTTCGATCATGGCAGCAACAGAGCACATACATAGATTTATAGTTTTCCTTAATACCACCCAGCCACTCACACGCACATATTTACGAGGAAAAGGAAGAGATTGAAGCTTCTAACCTTAAATGAATCAACACGCACGGACAGAGGAAGGAGAACGATTATGAACAGTGAAGAAAAAGGGTTGAATCAGCGATAAAGGTGGATGAACAGCAGTGTCAACGACGACCCACGCAAACAATGGTGCTTCCCAGATCTCTCTCTCAGCTCAGTTACACTGGACAGTGGCGGATGGATAGAGGGAAGAAAAGAAAATTCTTGAACGCTGAACAGGGGAAATAGATTTCAGTAACAGACCTCCAACGAGCACCCCGAATCTTGCGTACTTCCCTTCCCACTAACAGACTCACACAGTGGTATATGGCGAGCTAGAAGGAGGGAAGAACGAAGAGGTTTCGGCCGACATTCAGTAGCAAGAAAACGAGCTCCAACTCCTGCTAGCTGCGGACCAATCGATGATAGATTCTCACGCTGGCGGCGGTTGACTCACACGAACAACGGTGCGACCAATGGTTGAGATAAGAGAAGGCAGAGATCGACGGTGACAGAGAAATGGTTCGGTCCAAATCTCTCAACTCTCCCTCTGCTCTAGAATAATAGAGAAAGAAGGAAGGAAGAGTTTAAAAATCTGATGGAACTAAGGGCAGTTTGGTAAATTCGCATAACCAGAAAAAGAAAAATTTAACTCTTCTTTTAGTCTCTTCCAGTTTAAACTTGGACCTCATATATGAAAGATTGCTCAGCTGCCACTAAACCAAGTCTCTAACTTGTTATATTTATCTCAATAACTAATATAAACACACTTTAAGCAAGTTAACCTATATATATATTTATTTATTTTAAATTTTGTTAGGGTTATTACAGTTTTTTTCCCGCACTTAAATATCTACAAAGATAATACAAAATTGCTTCTTAGACAATCTTACAACCGAGTATTAAGTTTAGGCTAAGCTTATAGATTGGATGATAATTTCAAGATTATTTATTTTCAAGGATAGTTTATTATTTTCGTTACATGTGGTGCTTGTTTTATCTTCTAAGTAAATTTGGATCTTCAAAATTAAAAGATGGATAAATGATTTTTACATTAAGAAAGATATAAAGAGAAGAGAAAAATAAATAAAAAAGAGTAAATATATGTCACACTCTGTATGTCATCTTTCTTTCTCTAAAAGACATTTGTATTTTTATTTTACTTATTATCAAATTTTTGTTCACAATTTGATCATAACGGAACTCAGAGAAGTAATATATAAGTGTATCAAGTTTCAACTGTTTTTGGAGCAGCTTGCAGAATTTGCACGTGATGTGCAACATTTGAATCTCGGAGATCACCCTGAACTTGAAGATATATGGCTTGGTGTAATGGCAGTCCCCAATGGAGGATTCAATCAGTTGAAGACTTTGATAGTGGGTGGTTGCCATTTCTTATCAAACAATGTCATCCCTTCTCATTTGCTTCCTTTCCTCAGTAACTTGGAAGAGTTACACGTAAGAAATTGTGTTTCTATAAAGGCAATATTTGATTGGGGCCCACGCCCTTTCCATTTCCCCTTCCTTTGAAAAGATTGTATTTGCATCAACTACCTAATTTGGAGCATGTTTGGAATGAGAACTCTCAAGAGATTCTCAACATACTATCTCTACAACAATTGCATGTTTATGGATGCAAAAGCCTCAACAGGTTGTTTCCGGCTTCAATGGTCCATGACAAACTTGAAAGACTTGAGATCCTAAAAGTGAGATTTTGTGAGGGATTAGTGGAAATTGTTGGGAAGGGCAAATCAATCTCAAGAGGAGCAACTACCAGCGCTGTTATCTTTCCTAGATTAACTAATTTGGAGCTAGGAAGTCTGGCAAAACTCAAGTGCATATGTCCAGGACTAAACAATATGGAATTTCCAATGTTGAAAGTGTTGGAGACACATCATTGCAATCAATTGGAGATTTTCCCGACTGAGGATCAAGATCTTCCCGTTGATAAGGAAGCGATTGTCCCCTTTGAACGGGTATTATACTCATAATTGACCTTTTCCCCAAAGCCATTGTCCAAAATACTAATTTTTTTATATCATGATGTTAATTCTTCAATGAGCATGGCTTACAATAATCTTCTCAATGTTCGGCAGTTTAGTATATTTTACGTTTTAGATCAGCTTGATAGGACGTGCTCTATTTGAAACACTTCGATCATATATAATTCACACGCTTGATTAAAATATGTTATATTGAGATATTTCAGGGCTAGTATCATCAGAGAAATTTGTTAAATGAATCGTCTTATTAGTTTGTATTGTTCTAATAATGCTTATGTTGATCCCAGGTTTTTCCCAACCTAGAGCAGCTATCACTTAGCAAGGAGAATATCATGAACTTTGTTGGCATGGACTACAATTTCAGACTGACTTCCTTCAAAGAGTTAGATTTCTCGTACTGATGTGTTTTCATGATGATTTAAATGGATTTCCATATGGATTCTTCCAAAGGGAATCGCTTTCTAATATAGAAAAGCTTCGAGTGGCATGCAGTAATTTCAAAGAAATTTTTACCTCTGAAAGTCCTTATGTGGATTGTCATACTGAAATGTTTTCGCAGTTCAAAGGATTGGAACTAGTTTCTCTTATGAATCTTGAATCCATAGGATTAGAGCAATCTTGGGTAGCCTCTCTTCCTATAAACCTAGAAATCTTGGGAGTGGACAATTGTCCTTGTTTGATGAACTTGGTGCCATCCGCTGTGTCTTTATCGAATTTGAGGGATATGTTTGTATCTGAATGCCATGGATTGATACATTTGTTCACATCCTCAACTGCAAAAAGTCTTGCTCAACTTGAGAACTTTTTTATAACAGAATGCAACTCAATTCAAGAAATAATAGTTAAAGAAGATGAGTCGGATGGAGGTGTAATAACATTTAGGAAGCTCAAAGTATTGCCTCTTACTTCTCTTCCAAGACTAGATAGCTTTTACACTAGGAATTACAATTTGGAGTTTCCATCCTTGGAGAAAGCGTCAATATTCAAGTGCTCCCAATTAAAAGTTTTCTGCCAAGCTAGTATATATGCACCTGTCAATGTGACTTTTCAATCAGACAGAGATCTTAGTGGCATGATACCAAGGACTTCAAGAAGCTAAGGTAGCCTAGATCCTTGTCTAAATTTACCTGTTAGTTATCACGGAGTGCATTTGGTAATTGGGACCAAAGGTAAAAAAGAAAAAAACACATATAGTTGTATAAGAATGAGGACATTATTGGTATGTAGATTTTTCCCAAAAACTGTTTATATTTTGGACTACCATGGAGTTCTCAGGTTTATTTGATGTGTTATGTTTTAGGGAGAATTACTGTAGTGTACTTCAAAAACATTTTATTACTAAAAAGTCTCGCTACATCATGCATGAATAGCTATGAGGTACCTAGGTCCTCGCCTATAAATAATAAATGTTGTTGAATGACCATAATACCCATGATTTAAGAAAAGAAAACATGCACAAACTCACTTTCAGACTCTCACTCTCGTATCACCTCTCTAACTCTTCGTCTCTTGATGGATTGACAGTGACCCAGTGTACAAGCTCGATGGCAAATTAATTATTTCTGAAGAATTTCTAGAGAAGTCCACATCTCATTCGTTTCTCTCGAAATCATCCAAATATACAGGCTTATTTTGGCTCTGCTCTTCGATCAGTCATACTGCTTTAAAGTATATGGTAAGTGATACTAGCTACAATGTTGATTGAGAAGAAATAACAACTCAAAATAAAATTCCTAACTAGAATATATTATTATTCTTTGAAATTATGCAGGTTGAGGGAGATTGGAACCATCCATGTCGTTTTCCTTGGGTTGGTGATTTTCAAATTGAAGACTAATTAAGTTTATGTGGTGTCTCAGTCGCAGATTGTAAGTTGTAAATATGCAGACATGAAAACTTCGTTGAATTCCACTATGAGGTGGTGACATTTAGATTTGAATCAGAAGCAACTTTGAACAGATTGTTGGACTGAGATTGAATTGGAAATGAAACGCTTGTAGATGAAAATGTGTGTTTATAAGATATTTCGTATGAGAGAGTTCATGGATGATTTGTTCTCTTCACCGATAATGTATCATTTGTTTTATACCAACGCACATACACGTCTTTTGACATTTTTCTGAGTTTAGCTCTTTTTTCAGTTTCAAACAAAACTGAAGCAGATACATCATACGTGAACTATACACTTCCTTACTGAGCCTAGTTAATACTGTCGTGCCTGTTAAACTAGTTCATAATTTGTGAATCCATCATAAAAACCATTTCATTTTGTCTCTCAACTTATGATTAATATAAATTATGTTAATTTCTAAAGGTCGATATTGAATTGATAGTTGTTTTAGAAGCTAGCAAAAGCATTGAACTTTGAAGCTAAATTCAGACGGATGGGCAATCATATCACATGCTTAGGAAACTTTCCTCCAAGTCCAGCCATTCCCAAAAACAATATTAACCCAATTGATTGAAACCTTTCTGGGCAATCAATATGGATTCTTTTTTTTTTTTTTAGGGACCAGCAAAAGAACTTCATTAATAGTAGAAGTAAACAGAGTTTACAAAAGAAACAAATAGGAAGCAACAGGCACGAAAGAGTCATAAGCCAACATGGCAGAGACATAGCAACAAAACTAAAAAAGACAGAGCCCCATCACAATTAATTTTAGCAGTACCAACATCAAGGGGAGACCAAACTGTTTTAAAGTGCACTTGAGAAGGAGAATTGATATAAGTATGGCAATTAACCTTCCACTATTCCTCAACTGAAGCATTAGTAGAACTAATGACCTGCAAAGGATTTAGAGCAGTGGTAGAGAAGACAGAGGCAGATCTAGTCTTCCCTATATTCCAACAGAGACAAGCTATGTATGCCTTGTCATATCCCTCAAGTGGGCTATCATCAATAAGGAGAGAACAGCACCAGGATTCAAAAGATGAGATATGCAAAGTGTCCATATTTAAAATTAAGGGAGAGCCAAACTAGATTCGTCAAGACCATTCACGAAGCAAAAGCAAGTGCTCTATAGTCTTAGGATACGTTTTACATCTCGGACATAAGGGGTTAGCTGCACATTTGCGAGAAAAGAGGGTTTCTTTTGTCACAAGAGAGTAAATGCTCGCCAAAGGAAATGACAAACTTTGGGGGTGCATTTTCAGCTTCCACACT